GTAGGGAAAAAATTAGTAAATTACTGTCATAAATTATTTTCCATATATATATATAATATATAACAAAGTGCATAGTATACGTAATGGAGTATTTGTTCGTCAGATTAGGTTAGACCTATTTTTCGAGAGTTGAAAAATGAAGGTTAGAGAAATTGTTTAAATAGTGCCAACATGTGGTAACTGTGGATACACGTGTACATGTAAGTGTACAAAAATTATTGGCGCGATAAAACGAATGATACTCCTCAAAGATGATGCGCAAAGTCACGTTTGTCAAACGTGAACCCAATTTGAGATAATTTACCGCGTGAGTCGATGATTGAAGCTGTCAGGAAATGTTCCAAGCCGGTGAAAATTCAATACTTAATAAATATTCTTTGGACAAAATTAGAAACTACGTTGAAAGATGTGATTACTATACTATACTATATTATACTATACTATAAGTGAGCATGCTATATCAAACACCTTTCGTCAAATTCATTTTCACGCGTATATTAAAAATCCATGTTTGTCCATAAAGTAATAAATAAAATCGCAAGAAAATAAAAATTTCTTTTACAAAAATTAAAATATTTATAAATAAGTAGAAAAAGATTCGGAGAACTGTATTCGGAAACAACATATTTAACGCTAGAACTACCAATCTATTCGGGAAAACTAGTCTCCGAATTTTCCTTTCTGCGATCACTAAAAATACAAATGTTTACTGATGTACTTAATATATTTACTTATCTTCGTCGTACCACTAAAATTACTATTATTTATACTCCCTATGGTACGCACTGAAGATCGGTAGTTCCAGTGTCAAAACCTTCCTTTCCAATTTCCCAGTGGCACGAGAATATTATTTACTAAATAAATCCAACGAGAGTTCGAAAATTTTTTCTTTTTGAATAAAATTACACTCGTTACACGTAACAGTGAGCATAATAAGATTTTGCGAAATATTAAGCAAAGTTTGAAAAACGTGTGACAGAAGGGAAAATATTATTTGGAAGGAAACCCGCAAGAAATT